AAATATTAGCTTCTGTTACTTTTTATCCTTCCTGTTTAAAACTTTAATAAAGTTACTGCAAAAAAAGAAAAGATGAGTGCAGCTATGGGGGTGTGAAACATTGGGAGGAGGGTGAGAAAAAAATGGGGGGATCTTTGGACATCAACACTCCACTGATGGGAGAGGAGTTTGTTATTGGTTGATCTCATAAATTATGGTTGGTCACACAGTCAGCCAGATGTTTAGACTGGATTTGGCATTTTTGTCCACCTGTCAAGTCCTTCCCAAGGACCTGGGATAGGCAGATGTTGTTTGATGGATTTAAAGGTGGTGGTGGTGGTGGTGGTGGTATTATTATTATTATTATTATTATTATTATTAGATCTCATAAATTGCCACTCAGTCCAGTTGCAAAAAGACCAGGAAGAAGAGCTTCAACATTCAGAGAAACTCGAGCACAGTACACCTCTCTTTCCTGAATAATAAAAAAAAGAAGCTCGCACTTCGCTAGGGTTTTACGCTTTAAAAGAAAAAAAGGGTTTGCTGGCAATAGTTCCAACGAAGAGGGATGGAAATATTTGCCGGCTCGCATTGACCATGCCGTTTTGCTCATGGGGAAGTTTGTGGAATGGAAAGCTTCCTCTTTTGAGGAAACAGAAGCATTTTGGGGAGGGGGGGTTGCCACGAGCTGGCCATCACATTCTCATACCGTGAAACAGAAACCACGCTGTCTCGCTTTGGGAAAAGAAGAAGAAAAAGCAGGGCATGTTTACATCACCCAGCTCTGAGCTGCAGTAGAAGAATACAGTACAGCAAAATGAGGGGCATTCTCCTAATTTTTTTTTCTCATGCATGAGTTAAAATGTGCCCTGGGGGCCAGCAGAAGCTCCTACAGCCTTCCTACAGATAGTTGAACTGTATTCAATGCCAGGGGTTGGCAGGGACTGAGGGAAGAACAGGAAGAGTAACTTCCCTGGAGGAAGAGGAGCAAAACCAGCATGGCTTAATGGTGAAAATGCTAGATCGGTGTTTCTCAACCTTAGCAACTTTAATGTAACATAATGTAAATTTCAGTCCCTTTAACCACTTATTTTCCCACTGTCCATGAATATGTTATGTCCAAAGTTCTTAGCTCATTTTTACCATACAGTATTTCATTTCTTGTTCTTTCGTTTCAAATTTCAATAAACGTTTACACATTTTAGCAGTTACATGTTCATCATTGTGCATAGTTCAACTTCAGATTCTTTCTTCTGCTGCTCAATTCCAGATGTCCTATTATCTACCTTAAATCTTTCCCTTAACTGTGCCTACAAATACCTTTGAAAACTAAATCTGTCTGCAGCCAGCTGCTCTCTTGGTTTCATCTTATATTCTCCATGTTCCTGTTCTAACAACTCTCGATAAGTTAACCATTTTTCTTTACCTGCTGTTTGGAATCTCTTTGACTGTTTTGAGTC